GCAGTGGAAGATGGTCCAAGTATTTGAGCCCCTGCCACCCATGTGAGAGAGAAGGACGAAGTTCCTGGCTCCTGATTTCCTCCTGGCCCAGCTGTGGTGGCCATTTAAGGAGTGAACCAGTAGATGTAAAATAACTCTCTCGGGCTCTCCTTATCTCTCTGTCTCTATCTCTATAGCTCTGTCTTTCAAATAAACAAAATAAATCTAAAAAAGTAAAAAAAAAAAATAAAATACAAACTTATTTTTTAACTCAAGCGCCTTGTACCAGACTTGTAAATTCCCTCATAGAACTTTGAAAGAGTATTTAGGAGTTCTTATTTGTTTTATGAATACACGTGTTAAAGGCAAGCCAGCAAACAGACAAACAAAAACCAGTTTGGTTTATGGCCCTCGGGCTCCATGTGAGTTTCTATGAAAAGATCTGCCTCTGGGAGAAGGGAGGTGATGAGGAATGACGTGAAAGAGGGCTGGTCTGCCTGTGTCTTCCAGGGAGGGTTTCAGGGCACAGTTGCTGTTTCCTCTCTGCTGCAAGATTCTACCTGCTGCTGGTGAGACCCTATCATGCCTTCGAGCATTCTTCTCCCAGTCCAGGGCAGATGCCCTACTCTTGGGCCCTTGGGGCAGAGCTGCACGCACAGTGCCACAAATAGAAATGTCCAGATGGCATGCTAGCCCCGAGGGAGCTCTGAGGACCTGCAAGAGCTGTTCTGATCCCCAGGCTGAAGGGTTTTTATGAAGGGAGTAGGGAATGCAAGCTAGGGTCTGGGGCAGGGAGTGCCATTCCCCTTGGTCATTCAACTCCCCCATGTGGTATCTGCATGAAATGCATTGAGGTACACAGCACACTGGCGCAGCCAGAGAGGAGAGCTGCCTGAGTCTGAGATGGCAAGGTCCATGAAATAGGTGGGTGGAAACTATATTGTGTGCAAGTAATACCATCAGTGGATGGTGGTAGCAGACATAAAAGGTCAGTTCCCCTGGAGTGTTGTCAAATAATCAGCCCCCAGCAGGAGTTACTTAAAGGAAGCTTCATTTACATGTGAAAAGCAGAGGAGCCAGGAGGAAAATAGAATTCCCTAAAGACACCACCTCCATGGCCATATGTTGTGGTGCAGCAGGTTAAGCCACTATTTGCAATATTGGCATCCTATATTGGAGCGCCAGTTCAAGTCCTGGCTCCTCTGCTTCCACTACAGCTCCTTGCTACTATGTCTGGGAAATCAGCGGGAGATGGCCCAAGTAATTGGTCCATGCTACCGGTGTGGGAAATCCAGATGGATTTCCAGGCTCCTGGGTAAATCCTAGTCTGACTGTTGTGGCCATTTGGGTAGTGAATCAGCTAATGGAAGATCTCCCCCTCCCCCTCCCCCTCCCCCTCTCCCTCTCCCCCTCCCTCCCCCCCTCCCTCTCCCCCTCCCTCTCCCCCTCCCTCTCCCCCTCCCCCTCCCCCTCTCCCTCTCCCCCTCCCCCTCCCCCTCCCCCTCCCCCTGCCCCTGCCCCTCCCCCTCTCTGACACTCTGCCTTTCAAATAAATGAAATAAATATTAAGGAAAAAAAAAGCCTCCAGAGAAGTATTTTCCCATATTTTGTTATTGCAAGGATGGAAAGAGTGTCCAGGATATAGAAAAGAGGGAGCATGAGGGTCCTTGATACACTGCAAACATCCTCAGAACAGCAAGCACATCGGTGGAAGGCTTTGGATTCTCTGTCTCTATTCCTGCACCCCATTTGTCTCACTCCTGCACTCCTGGTTAGAAGGGTGGCCTGTGAGAAGAGAGGCCCAGTATAGCCAGGGCTTCCAGTTTTCGTCAGAAGCTAGAAAGCTGGAATTTTCAGCCAGAATGTATGTGTGACATGTATATTACTTGAAGTGTTACCGGAGAAAGCAAGGGTCCTTGTCTTCGCGCAAGAAAGAATACAGGTGTGAGACAGAGTAGTGGAAAGCAACATAGCAAGGATTATTAGAGCAGGGATGTCTGTAAGAATGGATGGGCACCTCTCCAGACAGAACCTGAGAGAGAGTGCCCAGTCGCTCAGACTGGGGGAGAGCGGGGTTACGTGGTTGAGTGGAGAGAATACACCTGGGCAGGCCAGGCGGGCGGCTCAGCAGAGAGGCAGAGGGCTGAGCACACAGTCCGGTTGAGGCTGGGGGTTTTTAAGGGGATGGGTCTTGTCTTCCCACATCTTCTCCTCCTGGAACAAAGGACTTTTTGGATGTAAATACTAAAAATTCCTTTCTGAGTTTTCCCCCTGAACTTATCAGACAGGAGGAAGCCTGGGTTGCCTGGGTTAGAGGAAGGATGGGCAGGATGACCTGGAAGATCACAATCGTGGCATGATGTTTAAAGTGCGGATACTGGGCTGCACCTGGAAGGTTATGGGGATGACTTTGAGACTCAGATGCTGGACCTAGATGTCAATTCCTTAGGCCTTTGTCGCACACACATAAGCTCATTTCTGACTTCCTACCTAACAGAAGGAGATGAAATACAGCGAAATACAGACAGAAGCTAGAGCTCTTTGAATGTGTTTTGTTTTGTAGATTTGACTGTGAGGCCTTAAGAAATATTTACAGTTCTATAAAATTGAATTTTACAAAAGTAGTCATGAAAAACTGAAAATAAAAAAAAAATGAACCAGTTGAACCTCACTGCAAATCAGGTTGGTAGCACAACCACAAACAAAGGCACTATTTCAAGTGACTGCGAAATACAGTGATTTGACTCTACTTTTCTATTAGGATATATTTCAGAATTTTCAATAATGATAGATTTTATATTGATTTATTAATCATAATGTTTGCAGGTGGTGGCATTGTTATTCTGAAACAGTTTCATATTATTGTGAGTTAAATAAGAGATCATGTTGATATTATTGAAAACAGTTATTTGGAGTATGGGAGAAATGTGAAAACATTGTAGGACCCTTGGGGTTAAAAGGAAAGCTTCAAGCCCTGATTTTGAATTAGACTTTCATGTGAAATTGTAGTGTATTTTACTTTAAAAATAAGAAAATTTCATTTTCTAGCTACCCACAGAAACGAAGTTTAATCCGGTAGCGCTGGACATGTGAAACTCCAAGCCTATGATCTTTAGATAGCAGTTCCTGATCAAATGAAGAGGGGACACTTGTTAGAAATGGCTGATTCCAGGCCGTGTGCAATATAACCTGGCGTGGCTTAACAACCGGAAGTGAGCAGGCCACCAAAGGCTCACTCAGTCACATTAAGGAGAGTCAGGAGGCGACTTACTGAGCTTCCCCTTGACCAAAGGAAGGGAAGTTAGAAAATCAGTAGAAATGCTAACTGTGCTAGAATGAAATAAACACAAAAGTTCACTGTTTGGAAGATATTAGGTAACTAATTCAGTGTTTTAAAGAAAAGTAGATAAGGAAGGGGCAAAGTCAGGGTATGTCAAGTTCCTGTCATTGAGGTTAAGCAAATGGTTGATAAAATGAAATTTGTCTTGATATTATATCTCAGCTGATAAATAAAGAATAAATAGAATTAGGGTATCAAAATTTGAAACCCCTAGTGAAGTCATGGACCCTCAATCATCAATGGCTGATATTATCACAGCAGAAGTTGTGTCCCCAACTCATCTCAGAATCCATGAGTAGCTTACATTATGTAGCAAAGAGGAATGAATGTGGCAGATGGAATTACAGCTGCTCTTCAAGTAATGTTTGTAAAGATTGATTTATTTATTTGAAAGGGATAGAAGGAGAGATTTTCCATCCATTGGTTCATATCCCAAGTGGCCCTAACAACCAGAGATGGGCCAAGCCAGAGTCAGGAGCCTGGAACTCCATCTAGTTTTCCCACATAGGTGGAATGGGCCCCGCACTTGGGCCATCTTCTTTAAGACACAAACGAAGTGGTTTAAAGAAACACAGATTGTTGATGCTATAGTTCAATGTGTTGGAATCATGGCCCAGGACTCAACTGGCTGCAGTTTCAGTGTCAGGGGCTGTGATGTTTCTAGATGCTCCAACAGAGGATCCTTTTTTTTCTCTTTTTGAGTAATTCACCACATTCTGACGCTCACAAAACTTTTCATCTTCCAAGACAGGAATGGCTGATTGAATTTCTCTCATATTCAATTAGCCTGGCACTGACTCTCCTGCATACCTCTACCATTTTTCAGAACCATGGTGATTACATGGCATGTCGAGATTATCCAGCATAATCACACTGTTTAAATGACTTGATGAGGGGTCAGTGTTTTGGCATAGGTTATGCCACTGCCTGTGACACCAGCATCCCTTATGGGCACTGTTTGAAGTGCCAGGTGCTCCATTTCCAATCCAGCTCCCTGCTAACCCACCTGGGGAGGTCGCAGATAATAGCCTAAGCACTTGGACCCCTGCCACTTGCGTGGAAAACCAAGATGGTATTCCTAGCTTCTGGTTTGGTGCACTTGCTGTGGCCATTTGAAAAGTGAACCAATGGCTGGAAGAACTTTCTCTCTCTCTCTTTCTCTCTCTCTCCCCCTCTCTCTGTGTGTATGAGTCTGCCTTATTAATAAACAGGACTTCTTTTTTATCAAGGGGTGTGTTGGGGGTCAGGGAGGTAGCTAGATGTTAGAAGGAAACTCACTTGGGAAATAAGAAATGACCTGGTATTTTAAGTGATTTTTGAAAAGAGGATGTTTCACTATAACCTGGAGAGTCAATCCTCCCCCAGCTTCCCACTCATTTCTTGCCTCCTTTCTTTCTACACTACCCAGTGAGGAGGGTCTCTACCATCTGTGCATGTGAATGACTAGGGGGCATTCTGGATTGCTTGGAATAGAATTTGCTCAGAATAAGTGAGCAAAAAGGATAATATACATAATTGCATCGAACAATGCCCCCTAGTAGTTTATGTGTTCGTTTGATCTCTGCTTCATTCTGCACCCCTCATAAAAGGCAATAAGTATATTTTAATTTTTGATAGCCCAAGGTATTTTGAAATTTTGGCTAACCACATTTTCCCTGTTATCTCTGTGTCTCTGTTTCAGGATGGAATGGGGAACCTGAGAATCACAGAAAAAGGCCTAAAGTTAGAAGGAGATTCAGAATTCTTACAACCTCTCTACGCCAAAGAAATCCAGTCCCGACCAGTAAGTTTGTGCTAAGAGAATAAGGAGTTACTGTTGCTCTGGGATCTATATGTAGGGAAGTGTATCAGCTAAGTTAAAGAGTGGGACTAGAGGCTGTCATAGGTCATAAGATGAATTTACATTCCAGTCTGAAGCCTTGGGTATAATCACAGCTGAGGCACTAAGCCAGCAATATGACATCTCTGAACTTCCTTCCTTTCCTTCCAATAGCAGGTAACAACACCTGCAAACCAGCTTTAAAGATTGTGGTGCACGAGATAAGACAGCAGATATAGAAAGGTCTTAAATACTAGACAAATGCAAGATAATATTGCTCTCATTTTTAACTGTGGAGGGTCTTGAAGCCATATTGGGAAAAATACTAAATAAAACTAGCACTGTTTTTCATTGGAATTTGACTGTGTAGCTGATGTTTGATTTCATTCAGTTTCAGTAACCATACTCTGAAATGGGGTTCAAATAATTACCGTACAATGATGTGTTCTAGCCACATTTCTGTTTTGTATGAATACTGATTGTCTAAATTAATTCACAGACTGACCAACTGGGGTGGGGACTATTGGTGCTTCCATTTTACATATTAAGGAATCAGAGCTTAAAGTAGTACTGTGACCAAAGCCACATCCTTACCAGGTAGCAGGACAAGGATTCCATCTGCAGAAATCTAGCTCTAGAGCCATCCTGATAACAGCAGTGTCCTCCCTAAGTTGTTGCTTTCATTCCTATATTTTTATCAAGAAAGGAGCGATTCCTATGTAGCTTGCTTTAATTAACTAGACCTTTTCCAGTAACTTTTCACGTTAGGCACTTTAGGTTGAGGGCTGATGTTAATGGTTTTATTGCTGGTCTTGGGTAAGGTGATGTACTTTGCGGCTTGAAAAGGTTGCCAGTGCTTGTGCTCTGCCTAGGGTGATCTGTCTTCACCTACAAGCAAGGAGTAACATGACAGTTCCCCAAGCATCATTAGCATTGTGTGCGTTAATTAGTGTAATTAATGAAGTTCAACCACCTGCTGCGGTGGTGGTTTTATCTGAAACTGTGTTAAAGTGATCTCAACTACTGAACTGTCAGTGAGTTCACTTCTTGTTTGCCGGGTGAGAGAAAAGGATCCAGAATGTTAAACTCCTTGAAAATAAATTATTTCAGCCAGACAATGATTATTTATAAAATTTAACTGGAGCCCATATCACATTGGCTTGAGCAGGTAAAGTACCAAAAATATAGTAAATATACTCACTGTCATCGAAGAGCCTATTCCCTAAAAGGAGCCATAAGGTAAGCCTATAATGAGGAGGGTCAAGTGACAATTTCTGAACAGGACAGTCAGTTGAAAATTTGAAGACATGTTGTTGAGTCAGGCTTTTGCTGCTATGACACATGCATCCTGTATGTCTCCGAGTTTGAGTTCTGGATCTGCTTCTGATCCAGCTTCCTGCTGATATGTACCCTGGGATTCAGCAGGTGATGAATTTCTCATGTTCTTGGGTCCCTGCCACCTACGTGGAGGACCTCTATTGAATTCCAGGCTTGTGGCTTTGGCCTGGCCCAACATCAGTTTTTATGGACATTTTGGGAATGTATCAGCAGATGGGAAACATGTTCTCTTTCTCTTCATTTATTTATATTAAATATAAATTAAGAAAAAAAAACACTGTTATATATGAGTCGCTTCAGATCTGTATTTAGTTCTCCCAACCTGGCAAGTTGGTTAGTTATACTTTACATTGCCTATCCCATCTGTATTACTTATTTAACTCACTAGTTCATGTTAGCCATTTTCCTCTAACGGTGCATGCAAAGCTTTTCTGTAAAGGGTCAGAGAGTAAATACATGAAGGCCTTACTTGTGTAGCTCTTTAAGAACATAAAACCAATTTTTGCTTAGGGCCCAAGCCAAAAGAGGCCATAGGCTGTAGTCTGCCAACCACTTTAATCTTTATTAGTGATGTTTCCACAAAAAAAGGGTACTTCAGAACATATATGGAAAAGGAAGATAAAAGTTTACTTTGATAGGAGAAGTTAAGGAATCCATCCATAGCTTTTTCATCATATACGACTTCCATGAACTTTTTGAGAAGCACATATGCTGATTAAATTGTATGTGGTACACGTAGTGGTTTTAAGGTATTGGGTAGAAGAGTTGAATAGATATTAAATAATACCTCATGACATTAGTTTCCATGGTCTAGAATTAGAGTCATGGAAAGGAACTGAGAAGTGTGTTTTGGGAGAACTGGAACAGGATATGTTGTGTACACATCACTTAAGCAAGTATGGGAACCAGCTTCTCTGAAAATTGATGGGCTGCTCATCTGAACTCAGAAATACATTTGATTAAAGCTTAAAAAGCAGCGACAATTTCAAAACTTCAAAATTGAAGAGTCAGTGCATTAAAATCAGTGCTTTCAAATCATTGTTTTGTGAAAATAAAAAGTATTAGAATTCACCATTTTCCAATGTTTTTAAACATTTCAGATAATAACACTTTATAGCTTTTTTGTTCCTGATAAAATGGATATCTCCTAACTTCAGAGAGAAGATACTGAGATATACAAACATGAAACCTGTCAGTACATCCTGGGAGCTGCATCTGAAATGTGTGACATAATTCAGCCATTCTTCTTCATCAAGTGTCAGGTTATAGTTCCAGTCTGCAGCCTTTCTCGTTTTACTGCTGCGGCAGCCTCTTGACTCTCTTCTTCCTTTCACTCAGCCTCATTACCTAAATTGTAGGCAAACTTGTATTTAAAATGTCTCCCCACCCCTTTGAAAGGGGTGCTCTGTTGACTTCCCATCTAAAATAAAATCCATAGTCCTCATCAAGCCTCTGTAATCACTTACCAGATGCTTTTCATGGAGGGCTCCTTCTGTTCCCCCTGGTATCAAGTCAGACTCACTGTTCAGAAAGTCAGTCCACTCACTCGAACACACATAAAGAACACATTGGTTTTTCCCCCTTAGCATTGTCATTATTGGACATCATTCGTGTTTTAAAATATGTATTTGAAAGATCAAGAAATTGTCTGGATTTCCCCTATGAAAATTTCTCATTTCTGTTGTTTGCTTAAGTGTAATATGTATTCAGTGTGTTCATAATGTTTAATAAATTAAGTACTAAAAATGAAAGTTTCCCTTAAATATACATCAAAGAAAAAAGCACCACTTGCAGGTTAATATGGCATTTCAGACATTTTCTGTGCTTACATATTATTCATTTTTTAAAAGATTTATTTATTTATTTTAAAGTCAGAGTTACACAGAGAGAGGGGAGGCAGAGAGAGAGAGAGAGAGAGAGAGAGAGAGAGGGAGGTCAGTCAGTCTTCCATCCGGTGGTTCACTCCCCAGTTGGCAGCAATGGCTGGAGCTGAGCCGATCCGAAGCCAGGAGCCAGGAGCTTCCTCTGGGTCTCCCATGCGGGTGCAGGGGCCCAATGTCTTGGGCCATCTTCTACTGCTTTCCCAGGCCACAGCAGAGAGCTGGACAGGAAGTAGAGCAGCCGGGTCTTGAACCGGCGCCCATATGGGATGCCGGCGCTTCAGGCCAGGGCGTTAACCCACTGTGCCACAGTGCCGGCCCCTTGCATATTTTTCAATAAACCCATACTTTCTTACTATTTCTATCTTTTTCCTCCAAATAGGATATTAATTGTAAATGTTCTGTATGTATCTGTATCTTATATCTTTTTTCTCCAGGCAATATACAGTGAACCAAATGCATATTTCTAGTGTACCATTTGAAAAGTTGGGAAACATTTGTGTATATGTGTAACCATCAGCACAATCAAGAGAACGAATGTATTCACCACCTCTGAGGATTTCTCCTGCACATTATCACTGCTTCCATCCCACGATATCCACCCTACCTCGCCTACTCCTGCACTTAGGCAGCCACTCACCTGCTTTCTGTACCATGCATTACTTTCCACTTGTTAGAACTTTATATAAGTAGAATTACCTATTATGTGACTCTAATTTGTCTGTGTCAATTTATCAAGATCATTTTTAAACCATCTATATAATATCTAACCTAAAGAACAATAAGGTTTTTTTTTTGCCTGCAGTTGGGCTGTGTGTTGATGTGCAGGGAGAGATAGTAGAAGTTGTTCAGGGCCCAGGCCTTTTTATTAATTTATTTATTTTGACAGGCAGAGTGGACAGTGAGAGACAGACAGAGAAAAAGGTCTTCCTTTGCCGTTGGTTCACCCTCCAATGGCCCCCGTGGCCGGCGTGCTGGGGCCGGCGCACCACGCTCATCCGATGGCAGGAGCCAGGTGCTTCTCCTGGTCTCCCATGGGGTGCAGGGCCCAAGCACTTGGGCCATCCTCCACTGCACTCCCTGGCCACAGCAGAGAGCTAGCCTGGAAGAGGGGCAACCTGGACAGAATGTGGCGCCCCAACCGGGACTAGAACCCCGTGTGCCAGCGCTGCAAGTTGGAGGATTAGCCTAGTGAGCCGCGGCGCCGGCCGGCACAGACCTTTAATATTTCCCTTTTCAATGCCAGCACAGCACAGAGAAGGGAATAAAGAGTAGCATAGCAGGTAACGCAGCAAAAGTGGAATTAATTTCTCTGAGTTGTCACAGAAAGTGAAGTCAACTATATTAGTGTAAAAAAGGTGAGTGAAGTAACAAGTTAATAGATGATGGCTTAATCTGCGATGCTCCCTTTCCCTCAAACACACCTGCCAAATTAAACAGGGTAGCTTAGCAAATGAAGTGGGAGGAATGACTGTTGGAGAACAGCTGTAATTGCCAAATCATAACCTCCTGTGACGCTCACATGACTGTACGTGGCTTATGCAGCTACTTTGGCTGTCATTTTCAGCTCACTGCCTTGTTTTGGTTTAATTTTATTTTTTGGTGTTCCTAAAAGTTACTTGTAGATCACTTCGGGAAGACTCCTTTGTATTAGCTGCACTGTCATGTCTCCACAGATCATAACTACTTCTATTTCACAAAACATTTCCTTCTGCTTTTCCCACTGGAAAAGGTGAGCATCCAGTT